GCAATTCTACTGATTGATAATACTATGTGTAAAGCGAATGTATGTCATATTTGAAAATTGGGTATCAGATATATTTCTGATAATATGTGGAGTTAGCATTTTTCTCCATTCTCTTTATTTTTAGTTTTCTGTTATATGATAAAAAGAGTAACAATCATGAATTCCTTAAAAAAACTTTCTTTAGATTCCTTGAACCATGTTTTAAGATTTTTTTTCTTCCTCTTCGATGATAATAAATGGATCTCTTTTTACTGAGTCATTTAAGTACCTCCAAGACTCGTCTATTGTGATAGCACTTTTCCATTTTTATCTGAATAAATGTTTCTCATAAAGAATTCTGCATCGCGTTCTCCATTCGGCGATATGTCGTGGAGAAAGAAGGTGCACATTATGTTTTTTCGCCTTTTTGAGATTCAAAACAGCATTAATCGCTTTGTTTACAGTTGACATTGAACATTTTAATGATTTTTCAACTGTCTTTTGACTCGGCGGATTTTCTTTTAACATTACAGGTCCTACTTTTGCAACATTCGGAACATTCTGTTTTTTCCTTGGATTCGTATTTGGAACAATGTTTCTATTTGAAGGTAGATTTTGACTTTTTTTACCTTTGTTTGTTGACAACATTACCCATCGTAGTTTTAGATTAAAAAACATAGCTTTTACAGCGTTTTTTAATAACTAGATGCGAATAATGTTCTTCGGAAATAAGACAAACATAGAATTTCATCCACTGCTTCTTTAATAGAGACATTTTTGCACGAAAACAAAACTACCAAGTAGCAGACGTTAACTTATACTTAAAAAAAAAAAAAATGCAATTGCAGTTAAAACAAGCAGTTTATGAGTATAAATTCAGAAATGCATGGTTCAATATGAAAAAAGAATTGCAAAGATTCAAAACGATATGTAACGAGGATTAAAGGGCAAAGTGCAAAGTAAAACAAAGAAACGGAAATTACTGCAATGAATTTGAAGAAGGAAGATTGGTATCAGATTGGTAAACAAGTGGTTGAGTGAATGGATTGTCTACAATAAGTTTGTAAGATCATTGATGAAAACATAATGGAAGAGTAGATTTGAAAGTGATACCAGTGTGGATGGAAATGCATGTTTTGGAGGGAGAAAACTTAGATGATAATTTGTTTGGCAAAATGGCAATAAAACATTTGAGTTAAGACTTGTCGTTTTGGCAAAGAAAGGTTTGAAAAAGGAGGTGTCAGTTTCTAAACAGAAAACTGCCTACATATAATGATCCATTTTTAAAATCACTTAATATGCCTTTCTTAATATTTTAGAAAAATACTTATTCTTTAAAAATATTATTTTAAAGACCTTTACTATCATAAATAATTATTAGGTTACTATAGTAGAGATTGATAGTCTGGAGTATATATAATACAAACCGATTAAAAATGCAAATGGACATCTGGTGTTAGAGCCATCGTATTATTTTCGGCAACAATGTTAGGGCAGGTATTAAATTAATATTAATTTCGAAGCGATGATAAGAACTTTTGACACAGGCGAACCATTAGATAATTGTCCTTGAAAGCCACTAAGAATGGTTGAATAGAAATTAGAGAAGTATTTTACTCCTCCTACTGAAGAGTTCCAGAACTTTTATAATTATAATTCTATCATGAAATCTGAAGTCACGTTCGTCAGCAATCGCCTTTAATATGCAAGAATTTTTTCATGTGCAGAAATTTTTTTAGATCTATGAAGTTTCACGTGTAAATGATATCTTGTGGAGCGGGAATTTTGTTTTCAACTTTGTACAAGCTATGTCCGCCAGTATGATGCATCGCTTCAACTAAATTTAAATGCAACGCATCCGGATTCATAAATCACATGTGTTACGCAGAAAGGCAGTTCTTGCCTTTGGGCTAGAATTTCGCTACCTGGAGCTGCAGTAACTTCATGAATTATTGAAAATCCTGCCAAAATTCGGAGCCTCCCGCGGTGATCCGGACACTCACGTGAGGAATTTGTCCATTGTTTCGGGGGAAGGAGGCACTGGGGAGGGTGAGGATATCCTTATTAATGCTCTTAAGCACGCCTCCCTTTTTTAAGTTTCCGGCTGGGAGATCATTCATAATTTCTTTCGAGTGTGAACACGGTGGAAAAGGTGAAAGGGAAAGAGAAGGTATTTGAATGCAATAGAAAACTTTTTAAAAAGTCGGATAAATAGTTATAGTCGGATAAACAGTCATGTTTAATTTAATTGGTTAAATTCTAAACGACAAAATTTATTTAAATATTTTTTAAAGTCTTCTCTCTTTTCCCCTCTGTTGTTATGCTACCCAAAGAGGCAAATGTGTTGCTATTGTTCTTCCTACCAATCGCACTTGCCCGACAAAAGTCAACTAAAGTTCAAGACATTCATCGCGGCATGGAATCAAATGCTCCTGTTTTGGCAACCTTGATCACCATATAGGTGATCTTGATATGTCTTTGATCACCATATAGGTGACAGCCCGAATTTAGGTGTTTCGCACCCCCCCCCCAGAATTTTGCGAAAAAGCACCCAGAGGGAACGGATCTACAGGTCTCTTACTCCTCTTCTCCTACCACTACAACCTCTCGAGAGGACTTTCGGCTCGTCACATGATATTTTGAGTCGCAGATATTTTGTCGTGCCGCAGATATTTTGAGTACCGCATGTCCATTCCGCAGGGACACTGTACATTTCCAAACATCTATCTTTTATCCTGGATACGAACCCGGGCCTAACTAAACTGCCCATTCGGGCTAACGTTCTTTCCGAGTAAAAACACTTTTGTAAAAGTCTTATTGGTGTTCCTTTATCAGGAGTAACCCTTTTTGAAAAGAAACTAGTCTGTTCTCAAAATATACGTAACATTTTTCACCAACCACAAAGCTTCTTATATTCGAGTAAGGGCATGCAGAAAGATATATGTCTTCTGTAAAACTAATGGGTAGAAAAGACTTATGTTTGCCAATTTGTTTATCGGTAAACCAGCAGAATGTTTGGCAAAATGTAATATAAATAAGCAACTTTAAGCCATAATGGTCGGAATACTATACACCGCTTATTGCAACACTTTTTCAATGAGCTAATTCAGATACCCTTGAAGTCTGTAGAATTATTGTTAGTCCAAAGGGGTAATTAGCCCAGAAGGACAATTAATTTCCTTTTGGCATTTTGCGTTGATTCACTAGAAGCGTTGTTTCACTTTTCAAATTATTGCCACACAATATTATCTCCCTGTATTATATTTAAAGAAATTAAATAATGAAGATTCTGCATAAATGTATGTATGTTTCTCGCATTGTCATAAAACAACGGTCCCTAGAGCCATCAAAATTTGAATAACGTAATCCTACTGCGAATGTGGGCATGTGGAAGTCCAAATTCCCAAATTTGAAATTTGGAATTTGTTTTATTACCGATTTCATATTTTGTAAAACTTTAACGAATTTTTCATTAACAAACTCAAGGATTAAAAAGCGAGCCATGGCAACGTTGTACAGAAAAAACATTTTTATCTCCAGCGAGCGAGATAAATCTATCGGAAATTCTAAAGATCTCCTTTTAAAATTATTTCCTTATATTGCTGTTGAACTGAATTTTATGGTTTAAGATTTTTTTTTATTTATTTATTATTATTTTTTTAATTTTAAATAAACACAGTCATCAACACCATCTCAGTAATTTTCTATATACTGAAATCCTCCTATCAGTGTCCGGATCTGCAATTAACTCACAATGCTAATAAAAGAAAATGCTGTAGTTTGCTTTTATTTTCATCATTATAACCTCTATTTTTCAAAAATGGTGTATTTAATTATGGCAAAGCACACGAGGGCTATCTGCCTAAGGGGAGGGATGCCTTCGTGTAGGTCTTTCTAAGGGAAACTGACTCGTATACACTTTACGCATGGGGAAAACCACCAAAACGCCCATGTAGCCAGCCCGTTCGCGGGATTAGAACCTCGGACCGAACTACCAGTTTTCAGCGACTTTACGGCTCGGCCTCTGGTGAGCTTTTCAAAAATGAAATCTAAAGTTTACGAATTAATACATTTTTAGGTTTATGAATATAAACGCTTTTCTCATTAATTTCGAAATGTGTTTAATCGTGGGATTTTTATCTTCTTTTTCAATAATTTTCGAAATGTGTTTTATTTTGGGATTTTGAAATTTTTGTCCTCCGTCTAACTATAATTGTTCAATTAAAAATAAAGGTGCACATTTTTTTTTACATCTGTACTGCGAATAGATTGTCGCTTCTGCTGCACAGAATTTATGACTTATTCTATTATTTCTTTGGATTCATACGAGCTGTAATTTCGAAGGTAATGAATGAATAAATTAATATCATCCTCTTTAATTTTTAATCAGTCAAGAAACGTAAAATAGTGAGCTACAGCACATAGATCATTTATATTTTTTATGAAATGTCGTGCAGCATCTGTGGAAAGTGATTTTTCCAGGTTCGTGTGAGCTACGAAGAACCCTTTGACATTCCCGCCAAGTGTCAGTTGTCAAAGCATCAACACCTTTCTCTTCGCTCCCAAACTCCAACGCATTAGGCAAGGCCGATGTGACAAACGAAGTGGAGAAAAGTGCCGAAAGACGTGTTCCACCGTCTCCAGGTCCGTCTGTCCAAATTTCGGAGCGGCCTGCGTTGCCATTCAGCTCACAGCACCTTATCTGACAGGCTAACACGCCATAAAATGTTTCTTTAATACACTATTTTCATTCCGACCTCGAGGATTTTCTCATTTACAATGCCCTCAGCATTCTCTGCTCGTCCGCCATTAAATTAAACTTTCAGAGCAGTTGCCAGTTTCGGTAGACCGAAAACCTACTCACGTACAATTATAAACTAGTACCGGTCGTCTGCTTTGGAGGCCAGCTCCGTAGCAGTTACTTTCAACATGCTGCGGCTTATTGCTCAAATAAATTATGTTTTTGACAAGTGAACTGATTAGAAGGTTATTTTTTCTCTCTTTTTGTTTTTGGGACTGCTTCTCTCCCTTTGCAGTCCCTTCCCTCAGTCATCTGTTATTCATGATATTTCGGACAGGAAAAGCGTAAGGTAGGCAGGTTAGAAATCAGCATGCATGCATCTATGTGCGCATGCATGATATGTGTGTGAAAAACCATTCGAACCGAAAGCGGAATTGGCTGTGCAAGTAACCATGGAAACGGGAGACCAAAACAAAAAGGTCCGGGAGATCTGTGTCTTTCGCATTGCTTGCTGGTAAGGAAGGTGCTTTTGCTGTGTAGTAATTATTCCTTTTTTATTTATTTTTCTCTCGATTCGCTTGGTTGCATAAGAATAAATGCTTCTTTGCTTATCAAACAGCGAGATTTTAAATACGTGTTAGCCTTTTTATTTTTATTTTTAGATATCTATTTACAGACGGAAAATAACTCCAAATGGTTTCTGAAGCAATAATTGCTTGAGTGCTCTCGAATTAAATAATTTCTGTTCCAGCCCATATAATACTGAAAAGTGATATGATAAATCGATATTTCTACTTAATAAACATGTATTTTGTTTCAGACGAATTAATTATCTTCTGTCTAGTATTGATTCAGCAAAATATTCCGTGCATTTGCTCATCAAACGCGTTTTTAAGCGATTAAAACAAAATAAATGAATAAATAAATAACGTAAAATAAATTAAGGTATACGACTACGTTCGACATCCAAATTTTGAAAAGTAGTACAAATAAATCTATTTAGCAGAACATCACTTAAAGTGTCAGAAATAGTTGCTAAGCATATTATCTATATACATAAAGAATAATGTCTGTGTTTGTTTGTTCGCTAGTAACTCAGCCACTACTATAGCTATCGTCACCAAACTTTCTACAATTCTTTTTTCTGGGTGCTGGAAAAGGTCGACGTCCACATTTTTCCAAAAAAAGCAGAGATATTAATTAAAAAATCATAAAAACGATCATTTTCGCCCTCATTTTTACGAGCGGCAACAGTCTCCTAAGCTGGAGAGGAAAATCTGCTTTATTTCGAAAGTTGTTGCCACTGCTCCCTTTCAAATCCTAGAGTTTGTTAATAAAAATTTTCGAAGTTGAAATAAAAATTGCATTGCTAAACATCAAATACATTACTCCCCATTCTAAAAATTCGTCGGAAGCCATTTCGACTATTTCCATCTTCGTACGACTTTAATTAGCCAAAATATTAATTAAAAACTTTAAGCGCTAATTTTCGCACTCATTTTTCCAAGTGGCAACAGTCTCGCTAGCTGGAGATAAAAGTTTGGTTTATTTCGAAATGTTGCCACTGATCGCTTTCAAATCATAGAGTTTGTTGATGAAAAATTTTTGTGTTTTACAAAATATGAAATAAAAATAGCATTGTCAAACATTAAATATATTATAATTATATAAGGTCATATTCTGAAACTGAAGAAACTTCCCGATTTCATGTAAACGCCATTGTATGTCAAAAAATTTTCGTTAATGTTAGCATTTGAAATAAATAGCTGCTGTTGGCAACTTTTTTTTTTTTTTTGTTTCAGGATAGGATAATTGACACCATATGTTATTGACACGTTAATTCTTTTATTGATATTGAGAAAAAGTTGTAACGTAGTAACCTGAAGTGTCAAAACTTTTTGTTGCTTGGTTTGGCAACAAAAAAATTATTTACTAATTGGTTGTTGCTTGAAAAGAATGAACTGATTTTCTTCTTATGGATGTATGCATTTTCTTTGAACAAAACTTTTTGGCCGCAGCCCGCTATTATGTTAAAATTTTAGATTTAGATATGTTAGAATTAGAAAAAATTTAGATATGTTAGCATAAAAATATTGAATAATATTTAATTTTTATCATTTACATTTATCAAGGCATAAGGAATTAAATGGGCTAAAATCTAAGTGACAAAATAAAATGTCTATTAAATATACTTATTTGAGTACATGCTCTAGGTAATTTTTGAGAAATTTCTCCGCTGTCACTTACAAAATTGTCTGAAAAAATTTTAAATATGTGCGTGAATACAATTCTTTACTCCCTTTAATTCACAGTATGGTATAGAATATTTATAGAAACATTCATAAATTTATTACAGTAGTATTTTTAATTATAGTTTTTTTCCAACAGAAAGATTGACAATAACCAAGTTTAAAAAAAAATAGTTTTCATGTTATGCAAACACAAAAGAATGAAGTAAAAATGTTGCTTCATTCTTTTGTGACAAAGACATGGCCTAAAGGAAAGACGTAATTTACTGCTGAACAACGAGTTCTGTGACGCACATATTCATAGTTGCACATCCTAAGGGTTGTAATAGGCACTCTACACTTTTTGGAAGCTTACATTTTTCAAATAAGGGTCGATAGACAGCAATTATCCGCATTATAAGACCAAAGCAAAGTGGAAAAGTCAAGTATAAATTCAGAAAAAGTATAGAAGAATCAAAAGGTATCTCGGTATATGATTGGACAAAAGATATTCATATTGGCTATATGTTACGTATGATGATATGATCCAGATTAATTTTGGAATAACGAAGTTTAAATTGATATACTATAAATAGTTACTATTTTTAGAACAAGAAGGGAAATGACCAAATTAAAATGCAGAATAAGAGGAGCTATTGTCAATTAAAATTAGAAGTTCCGTTTCATATATATATGTAATGATTTTGACAGTTGAGAGCCGAAACTCTTAACAGCTTTCGATGTCCGTCATGGCCGTGGTTAAGGCATATAGATGAAGGCAACAAAAGTGAATTTCGACAAATCACCGGTCCTTATTTTCACACATATCCAATTACTTGGACAGACACTAATTCAATCATAATTAAATACGATAAATTTCTATGTACATTGGCTTTTAAAAAGATATGTCGATGTTGACAGAGCAGCAGTGAAGGAAAGAAGAATGACGTAGTTTTTTGTGCCAAGCGTATTTATACCAAGTCTGAGGTATAAGTAGAACTAATCTGTGATTGGTTAATATTAGTTTTAGTTGTCCTTTTCCAGTAGAGTTACATACCATAGAAAGATCTAGAATTTGGGAGAACAGATGAATTTAGGGGGAGATCACCAAATCTAGAATTGTTAATTTTGAGGTAGCCATTTTGTTTTAAAGTAATAGATTCTATAGTAGAATGCAGGCGGTTGTATCCGCAATGAACAGCTAGAATTTTGATGCCATAGAATACTGAAACGCCGATCCACAAGGAATAAGAAATTTTTCAATCAAGGTATATTTAATTTAACTTTTATTTCAGTAAACATGTTGTGGCCACAAACAAGTTGGCACATTTATTGTGCCTATTCGAAAAAGTTTACATTTTTGATAACTTTGTAGCAAGAAAGCAGCAGCAGACAGACAGCAGTCCAGATAGGCCAAAGCGTTGAAAGCAAGTGCGTTATGTTTCAGAGTGAAATCTTAATTCAGACTGAGTTAGTTTGGGTTCTCAATCCATTTTGATTGCATGGTTAATATTACCGTAAAATTACTATTGACTGTTTCAGTTTTAGTTTCATTTACATCATCAGAATTATGTAAGAATCATATGATATAGATTTTTCTAGAAATGACGCAGTGCAAACAGAGATTACTATTTTTAGGATACAGAAGGGAATTAATTTTCTCCGAAAATTTAATCTTTTACATATTCTTTATTTTTCTTACATATATATATATATATATATATATATATATATATACACTTATTTTACTTATGTTAAAATTGTCACAGGAACCACAGTATCTAAGCTACTTTTTAGCGTAAGTACTAAGAATTTTCTTTTAAGTTGTTTTCTAAATTTTGAAGCTCAATGCGCAAAGTTCTTGACCACAAAGGTCTTTTTTAGTTTGTTCTCTTTTCTTTAATTACACACACACACATATACATACATTTTTACTTGCTTTTGACAAATAGACAATACTAATAAAATGTTTTACTATACTAGCATTAAAGTTCAGTTTTTATTAATTTTCCTACTTTATTTTCTTTTCCTAGGATCCTAGGAGGTAATTCAAAAACTGATCTAATAAATGAATTCTTATTTTCTTACTTAGCAGCTTTAGCATAAGTATTAGTATTTTTAAGCTGTATAGACATGAGGTTATTTCGAAACAAGAGAGATGAAAAATGAGCAATGCCCTCGCCGAGACTCGAACCACGGACCTCTGGAATACGCGTCGAGTGTGCTGACCACTACACCACGAAGGCATGCTAAGGCGGCGGAAGGAATACCTTATAAAGTACAAAATTACCCAACTTAATCACGTTTTCCATTATAATTGTTTTATCTTGGCGTAAATTAATCTGTAAACACTTATTAATTAAATATTTTAGAAAGAACAAACTGCGTAAGAATTCAAAATCATATCTATCATCACATATATAACAAGGTATATTTATATATAAAGTGATGGGAAAAAAGTATGTGGACAACTTTTGTAATAGATCTTGTTGTAATACATTGTTTGTTCCGTCTTCATGGATTTTAACGTTTCAAACCAAAAATACCTAAGAGGAATTTTGATGTTACCGCTTTGTTCAAATAAGAATGGAGACTATCTTTCTCTGTAAGCTTTGCGCTTGCAAAATATGCAGAGATTTTTCACTGTGTTTTCTAAACAATCACACAGCAGTTTTGATGAAGTTGCAAAAAGATTCATATTCTTGCATGCACATAGCTCATAGCAGAACATGAATACACGAAATACTCAAGATGATCCTAGCAATACACTCTTCACTATATATTTTTATACCGTTCAGTTACATTTTACAGAGCGTTGTAATATTCCTACTTCGTCCACAACTATTTTTGTTCAGTGCGTAGCCGTTTTTTAGGTGTCAAGCAGATTAAAATAAACTAGAGGAAAATCCGATAATGAATACTTTTCTAATTCACATGAAACAGTTAATTTATTAATAAAAAAATCCAAAGCTTTCACATTTTACATTACGCCCAAACGGGCGTTTTTTTTAACGTTTTTCGTATTACATTTATTTATTAAATATTATGATCTTCGTAATTAAACCATAAAATTCAATTCAATAGCAATATCGCAAAATAATTTTTAAATGAGCTAATCTTTAGAATTTTCGATACACAGTCTCGCGTGCTGGAGATAAAAATGTTTTCTTTTTCCCGTGCAGTGTTGCCATTCCTCGCTTTGAAATTGTTGAGTCTGTTAATCAAAAAATCATTTAATGTCTGACAAAATATGAAATAGATAATAAAACAAATTCGGGCTTCCAGATGCTCATATTCGGTGGAGGATTACGTTATTCAAAATGTGACGGCCCTAGGTAACTTTGTTTTATCTCAGTGTGGGAAATATACATACATTTATGCAGATTCTTGATTATTTAATTTCTTTCAATATAATCCAGGGCTGTAAGATTGGGTGGCAACAGTTTGAAAAATGAATCAACGCAGAAAGTGAATCGACGCAAAATGCCTAAACAAAATTAATAGCCCTTTGGGGTAATAAATTTCAATTTTTTGAAAGAAAAACATGCTGTTCATATACAAAATTTTTTACGCATTGAATGGAATTTATAATATTCTAAACCAGATGCAGTCTAAATAAATGTTATATAAAGAATATGAAATCGAATTAAGATATTCTTTCTGAGATTAATCACATTAAAAAAAACATTGTTACAGTTCCTGAAAATTTCCGAGACTCAAATTTTCTGGAATATTACTATGAAAGGACATTTAGATATGATGTGAAATTAAAATCTCTATTTAAAATCTTTTATATTCTTCAGCAGTTCTCCGCATCACATCTCAACAAAATATTTTTTAAGTCAACTTCCTCTGCATTAAATCTTAATAGAATCTACTGTATGATAGATTTAAAAAAAAGTTTGATATTTGATTTATTATCATTTAATGTTAATAATAATTAGTAAAATATTATCTAAAATATTTTTTAAAATACTTATGCTTAGCGCATCAAATTTTTTTTATTATAGATATTTATTTTTATTGAAAAACCATTACCTCGCATCACAACTTGTCGTTCTGTCTCTATGAATTTTAAACAGGAGAAAAAATTTCGCATATTCCTTGCAGGTATAAATCTAGTTATTGAGTTAACTAAATATAATAATTATACTTAATTTTACTGATCAACAAATTTTAGTTTTTATGCAAAATCTTTAAAGTTAAATATTTATGAAATTTGTGGAGTTTAACATGAAAATGACAATGAAATTGGAAAATTAGTTACAGTTCTTCGATTTATAAAAATTTAAATCTCCAAATGGCGTCAAACACGGTCGCCAAATCGCCATATTATTAAAATTGATTTTACAATTAGTTCAGCATTTAATTAACATTTTCAATTCCGCAATTTCCTACAGAATTTTGAAATAAGAGAGAAAATTATGTGACATCTTTACATGATTTACAAAAGAAATTACAGTAAAGTTAATATTTGAACCAAGAGTAAATTTTACGAAGTCGTAGCCACAGTATGAGGTCGTTTATAAGATACTTTCCCGTAAATATTTAAAACTTGAGCGAATAAACGATTTTAATTATCATGTTCGTGTTCAGTATGTATAAATTTGTAAAAATGCCACCGTAGGATATTTTTGAGTGTTATTAAATATCTTCATTTTTGAGTTAATATTAGAAATGAAAATTAATTTACTTTGCGCTTTTGCTTGAGCATTCTATACGAACTTCACTCATCTGGACTGAATGGAGCCATAGCCAAAATAAAAATTAAAAAATAATAATAATAAAATAAAATAAAATAAAATAAATTCTGCAAACCAGATATGTATTTTCCGTGTACAAGCAAAAAAAAGGTGAATTTTAAATAAAATAAATACACTAAAATAAATTTGCACTTTTTTTTTTTTTTTTTTTTTTTTTTTTTGCTTCTGCTTTGCTTGCTTTATTTGTTTACAACACTGGTAAATAATGGTTATGCTTTCCAGAAAATGAAAATCAGCATTAAGAATTATTTAAGTATCAGAATTGAGAAGATTGGATACCCATTGGAAGCACGATTTATCATCGCTATTTGCTGCTAATGTGATTCTGCTATTAAAAATTTTGTTGTTGATACCTTGCCCTTAGAAAAACTTTAATAAATTATAAACTTTGCCTACGTTATGTAACTGAAAACTTTTAAAATAACGGTAAATGATTTGAACTTAGTTTCTCAAAGATAGGACCTTACTTATAGTTAGATATTACGTAAAAAGAAGTATTCTGTAGTAGTGAACAATTTCGGATTATTCTGCGGTAAATTTCTGGAGGGCCTGCGCTATATTTCTGTTTATTTTAAATTTCGTAACCTAGAGCTTAATGCTAATACATTTTAGTTGAATTTTACTTTCGACCTAAAATTAATATTCTTAAAGGTGAAGAAAACTCACCAAAAACAAAATTAGATCATTATCAGAGATAATTGCGAATAACAATAAAGCGAAGTTAAGGTTAAAAGTTTCATTATCACTCGTTGGTGATACTGATTTAAAGAAAGCCGTTTCTTTAATAGATTATTAATATAAGTTTGACATAACTTATATTAATAAATCTATTAATATTTTGTAATAGTTGGGGAAATTTACTATATCTAAACGTGGAACTCAATACTTGATTCGAAACTTATACTTTCAAGTATCACAATTTTTATACATAGGAAAAGGCAAGTTGAATTGATTTCTATTTAATCATTGTTATTTGCTGGTGTGAATTCTTTGTTAAAAACTGAATGCATAAATTGTGTTCTTGTTGAAAATTTTCTATTACATGTATGAGTATATTACATGCATTTTATTACTTGTTTAGGTAATAGAATTATTAGTGAAAATTTCGTTAGTTTTTGTCTTCAAAGGTTTTGTCTTTCTGTCAGAAAGTAAGATTAGTTAAATTTTGTTCTTTCTTTTATATTTTTATTCGTTACTAGCCGTGTTACCTAACATTTTTCTCGGAACTTAAAGTTTCCGAGATATATTAAAATATACTTAGAATTTTTCGTAGTTTTTACGACTATCGTCTGTCGATCACTTAAATCCCAAAACCTTTAACTATTCATGTTGGCTCACGACTGTTGTCAAATTGTTTACAAAATCCCCTCTCGATCAAATCATAGAATAATTAAAAATCTTATTCCATACTGTATTAGGTAAAGGATGTTATTATTTAAATACTTTTTCACCATGTTTTGGATTAGTTTCACTCCGAATTTACGAATTTTCAGCAGCATTGCTTACTTAGTTTTTTAGATATCCATCGAAGCACTGGAATTCGAAATGCTCAACAGTTAAGGAATAGACAAACATATTAACTATCAAACTGCAAAATTGCGGGTTGATTCGCGAAACACTGGCTAACAAACACCATGAAAATGTTTCGTTTTTAGACAGTGTTAGAATTTTTGCTTTTGCCTTTTAGTTTACCTTTTAGAATGATATACATGGTACACTATATAACGTGACCTGTCTTCAAAGTAAAATAGCGCTTTTATTGTGGACAGCAATAAATAAAACTGAATGCCGTTAAATATCCTAGATTTTCAAAACAAATTTCACTTTTTCAATACAACATTTTGGTGATGATTTCAAGGACAAAGCCTTGTTGTCATTTCCCAGGTATTTTTGCCATAGCTGGATGTAGAATATCTTGTCTAAGAATGTCTTGTCTATCTATTCTTCACTATTGAATTTTATCAAATATAATACAGGGCGATAATATTGGGTGGCAACAGTTTGAAAAGTGAAACGGACAGTCAGAGTGATTCGACGCAAAATCGCAAAACGAAAACAAATGTCCCTCATGGACAAAGCTCCTTTGGCCTAAAAAAATACTACTACGTAAGGTTCGGAGACTTGAATGAAAGTCACTGAATGTTACCAAACCGAGAAAGAAGCTTCTCGAGAAACTACCCTACATTGTGTCATGGCAAAATCAACTGAGAAATGACAACAATAGCTTAATTATCATGGAAAACATTTCCAAGATTTTGTATTGAGTGCCTGTTTTGTGAATCCCAGATCCTTATTATCTTGTCTAAAGAATGTGCTATCTTTCTTTGAAATAGATAACTTTAAATGCCGCCCTTTATATATATTTTATACCTCTTTTGTATATTCCATATTAAAAAAATTACCTAAAACTTATTTTTTACATTTTTTTTTACAGATACATATACAATAGAATGTCGATTATCTAAAGTTATGTGGAATGACGGTATTTTGGATAACTGACAATTCGAACGAAGCAGAAGATGCAATTATTTCGGATAAAACTGAACTGATGCAAACAGTTTTGACAGTTTATATGGTACAGTATCATTTCCAAGCTTTTTCGAACTATTATTTTGGTGTTGTACGTACGTATAAAACTTACATATGTATTATATATAACAAAAATATGACACTTTGAACATTGTGGCAGGGTACAAAAATATGACACTTTGAACATTGTGGCAGGGTACAAAAATATGACACTTTGAACATTGTGGCAGGGTACAAAAATATGACACTTTGATCATTGTGGCAGGGTACAAAAATATGACACTTTGAACATTGTGGCAGGGTACAAAATATGACACTTTGATCATTGTGGCAGGGTACAAAAATATGACACTTTGAACATTGTGGCAGGGTACAAAATATGACACTTTGATCATTGTGGCAGGGTACAAAAATATGACACTTTGAACATTGTGGCAGAGTACAAAAATATTCAAATCACATTCGAATTCTCCGTTTTTAACCTGAAGATTCACACAAGTACGTGTTACTAGGAATGTAGCTGAGTTTCCTTACTTTTATTTTGGGAATTTAAAAGCTAATCGAGGTAAAATTTCGGCACAATTACTTTAATAAGCCTCAGAAAAGGGATTTAGTTCTTTTTTCGTTCCACATCGTGACCAATTATTTCTAAAAATTTGGCTTGGATAGCATTTAATTGGATGAACGTTTAACAAAGCGCAAAATATGGCGATTTTTACGAGGCTTATTTCAGAAGAACTGCGCCGCAGGTGTAAAAACAATAAGAGCTGCGAGAAGCGTGAAAATGGTTGAATCATATTTCCGAGTAAGTGCTTTTAATTTGTCAAGAAAAGGAACATTATTATTTACTAGTGACGCAACAAGCAGGCTCAATGATCGTTACTATCCTCGTTTTTGACAGCGAACCTTAATTCTCTAGCCGTTTACAAGAATTTTACGAGACATTTATACAGCGACACCAATTTACGATTGGGTCCTTTTAATTTGCTTTCCGCCAAGAACTCGTGAGACCACTTCGTTGGCAGAAGGTTCTTCTCACGGAGAGGAAACAAAAGTTTAAACTTCAAAGAAGAAGGGAGGGAAAAAATAAGGTAAGGGGGATCGAAAAAAAAGTAAGCTTGTATAAGGGGGATCGAAATTTTCTCCGTAAATCGACCCTATGTATGCATGTTGCATGCGCGCGCATAGTTGCGTGCATCCCAGAGAATATAATTCAGTTCCTTAATTACAAAGCAAAGGAAAGCCGTCACAAAGATCTTAATTTGCCCGTTCACGCACAAAGAGAGACAACGACGCCATCATTTACCGAACGACGAAACTTTTCCTGTTACTGAAAGTTTTCCTGCTCTTTTGTTTCTGTTTTCTTTCGCTACCACCCTATTGGCTTGGGTATCTCATGCGTGGAGGTTCAATGCTACCAGGTGAATAAATTACGCTACTCGTATTTGGCAACGAATGAGATGTGACCTTTTGTTTGTGTGCGGTGGCAGCAGATTGATGTGACCGACAGCAACGCCACCCATAGGGGCGGTACGCCATCACGCGATGATTATTTTTGTGGCATTATTCCATATCTTTAATTCCCGCCTTGTCCAAACCACGCCTGTTTTATTGTAATAAAATTGCGATTACTTTCACCAGGACGACGGATGGCAGAAATGTTCACTTTTCTGCCCCAGAACAATACATCTTAATTGGAGACCTTATGCTGATTTCGGGACAGAAAAAAATATGTGGAAATACAATAAACCCCTCACTGGCTCGATATCAAAAACTGCTTTTCAAAAAGCAGTAATACATGTATGTTGAATGACTGAAATGAAACTTTTATTCGAAATAAATTTGGCTTTCTAAATCCTCCCACCCCCTCCCCTAAAAAAGACGAAAAAAAGAGAGAAAGAGAAAATAAAATAGCAAAAAAATACCGTTTATTCGATTGATTAATAAGAGTAGCTATTGAATCAGTTAAATGAGAAGGTAGTGTACTGTAGTGGCCGAAACCGCTATGCAAACCCTGGGTTTTGACATCAGGTTGAAAATAAAACACAGCATAAAAATTTTATTGAATGCTAAAAAAAAAAAAAAAAAAAAAAAAAAAAAAAAAATGTCTATATACAATTCGACAAGAGAGAAACTATCTTTTCTAAAAATCCAATTCTATACATCAGTCGTGCGAGAGCCATACGTGGCTCTCGAGCCTGCGTTTTTAACGTTGCCAGCAATTTAATATTATTTTAATAACAACTATATTTTTATAACTTAATTATTTTAATAACAACTATATTTTTATAACTTAATATTATTTTAATAACAATTAAATTATTATATTTAGTCCCGTGATTTCATCACGTATATTTCACTCTGAATTTGCAATTTGAAATCATTTGTCGTAGATTTATGCGACCTTATCACAGTAGTTTTCCAGTCAATGAATTAAACTTTTCAACGGTAAATTTTTCGGGCTTAAAAAAAAGGAAAAGAATGATTGTACATCAACTACATACGAAAACTATTCTTTCTCAGATATATTTTAAATGATCTCACATATTATATTACCAAGATAATTATTGAAGCATTCTATAGAGCAGTGGTCTTCAAACTACGGCCCCTTAGAACTATAAGGCATTTTTGAGGAATTGCATTCTACGATTAAAAAATAGATCATAAAATACTAGTTGAAACAAATCAATATTGTTACGGTTTCTGTAAATTTATATTATTTTTAAATAGAATTAACTAAAATTGTTTTATACTTCCATGCAATGCAGCACCAAACTTATTTGAAGAGAAAGCCACGCCGAAAAAATTAAAAGCACAGGAGCACGCGCATTTAATAAATAGATACTACCTCGTAATTGTACGCTTTTGACTTCCGGAAAAGTCGAGAAAATACCAAAATATTCTGTGCTTATTAAAAAGCTTATAAAAGCTGGAGGAAAACATCCCAATTCGGTAGTTCATTGCTGTTAGTTACTGTAGCGGATTCGCGGTGAAATCGGGTTAGCTTTTTCTGTTTTGAATTAAGTTCTGTTGAACATTTTAGTAGTTTAAAATATAACTACTACTGTGAGATATTGCAATCTTGTATGAATATCTGAGGAAATTTAAGCATTTTGTTTATTATTTGTTGTGATAAGAATAAATTTTATTCACTTTTCATCGGAATTGTACATTTAGTTTGTTACGAACCTGTACGCAGGCAACAATATGATACATGTATTTCATATAAATTCATCAAAGAAAAGCACTGTATTTTTATTGACTATTTTAACATGAAATTAGTGAAATTTACTCATTAATAGCATTATCACGTGCGCCCAGGTGCACCTACTTTTGCATTATATTTAGTGACGGGGCTGTGCTTGCATTTTTTGACACAAACTGTCGAAGTTTAGTTCTATCGATGTTATCTGAAGTCGCATTACATATTCTGCATTTAATTTATTTGCATAGTTTTTGTTGCCACATGGTTGAGAAAGATTTTTAACTTAAATATGTCATTTCGAATGACATTAAAATATTTATTGCTGTGCGATAGATAATAATACATTTTTTATCCCCATCAGTGCAATATGGAGACATTTCTATATGTTTTATTTGAATGTACTGAAGAGAAATTATCATTAAAATATTTTTGTCTAATATATATTCAATTCTTTCATAGCCTAGATCTGTTGCTTTATATTTAACTCTTGGTGATGAAGCAATAGCCAACTTTACTCTGAAATTTTAGCAGATTGTAAGGAAAAGCATACAAAGGCCTTGTACCCCCTAACCTCCTTTCCAGGTTTGAGTAAAATCACTTTAGAAGCATTTTTGCTGAAATTTGCAGTGCCTGTAACTAGCTCTGTGATAAACAGTATAAAACTGCCATATTTTAAAAAATTCGTTCAATAATTTGAAACTGAAATCAAACCATGGGAATTTTCTTTTTTCTTTAAAAATAAATCAGATAATTCTCGTGTAATTTGAACTAAATCCAAAGAAATAAATGCCATTTCTAATCTCTGAAATATTTCACCACTTCTTTGGTGTCACTGATCGCATGCAAATGGTTTCACTTTTAAAATTAAAAGTATGAATATTAATACTATCTATAATATAAAGTTTGAAAATGTCAGTCAGAAGAATAATTGCATAATCTCGATTTACATAATGATATGTTTATAATTAATGTCCAGATTCCATTGCAGTTAGAATTTAAGATTATTTTACTTTGTTTTATTTGCTTTGTCTATTTTATTTCCATTTCTATTTGCTTATTTTTCTTTATTTATATATCTATTGTACATTATTTTATCCTGCTGTTCACTTTGATAAAAATGTAATTGTTATTAGGGGAAACAATCTGTATAGAGTTTTTGATACCAGGAATACTCGTACACACCTTACTCATACTATTTCACTAATGAGTTCTTTAATAATACTACACATTTATATATTCAGAACATAATTAAGGTACCCAACTACGTTTGACATTCATATTTCGCAAAATAGAACAAATAAATATATTATTGGTGTTATTTAGAAAAATAATATATAAAATAATATAAACAAGTGATTAACATATTATCAGTTTATAATGTTCGGTTTTTTTCCTTAGATTTTGGGTTAGCAATGCGTTAAATATAAGGATTACTAGCTATGTTGGCGCAAAAATATTTATCAATATTTTACTTTTATTTTTGTCACTTATATTTATTAAAGTATAAAGAATTAAATGAACTAAAATCTAAGTGATAAAGTAAAATTGTCTATTAAATATATCTGTCAGTGTACATGCACTAGGTATTTTTCGAGAAATTTCTGTTTTTTCATTTACAAAATTGTCTGAAAAATTTTAGATGTGTACACAAACCTAAATTTTTAGTCCTTTTAATACACGATATTTCGCAGAATATTTGCGAAAATTTCATAAAATTACTTTAGTAATATATTAAGTTAAACTTTTTTTCGTAACAGAAAAGTTAACAAAATCAAGTTTTTCAAGAAATAGGTTTAATAAATACAAGCACAAACAGAAGGAAAAGAAAATGTTGCCAAATA